AATTCATAACAGAATTGATTTGGATACATTATTATTTTTGGAGCAATAAGAGTTTTTCAAATTTACACCCTTTTATGGTCCTCGGGACCCAAAATGGTCCCTTTTTTGACTATGACCATCAGAGGGTTAAAGACATATTCACTGATTATGAAGTCTACTTCCAAAACTTCACTAACAAAAAAAAGATAACTCCCACGTGTGGCTGTATGACTAAAACAATGGCTGTTATGGTGCTTGTTCTGCTGCGTGCACCTGATGTCTAAGAATTCTTCAAACCTACAAAACACTCTTTTTACATGGAGAAAAAAAAAGATGGAAATAGAGACGTGGTATTTTGCATAAATACCTCCCCCACATACCAGGAAAAAAAACGCAACTGTGAACAAACAAATGAGCTTGTGTGCATTTCTGTTGAGCACACAAGTGTGTTTATTGTTTGCTTTGAGTCTTTGCCACCTGAAGGCAACGTGGTGTCAACCCAGTACTCCTCTTACTTCACTTTAGTTTGAAAATCGTGCTTCTAAAGGTGTTCAATCTAGAAGCAAGTTCAGTAATAATCAGATTCAGGCATCAGTGCAAGTATTTCAACTAAATCACATGTTTAGAAGATAGAAAGTGAAAGTCTAGGAGCAACGGAAAGTGAAAAGCAAAACAGATATGGCAAAGTTAAATACGATTTTTGAGAAAGAGAGGGAGAGAGATGGGATGAGGCTTTTTACAAGGTGGTGTGTGTGCACCACTGGAGCAATGTTCTGATTTTGACTTCAACAGCAGTCAAACAGCAAACAGCTCTTTAAAGAGGCACACTTGTCAGCAAGGCATGGAGGAGTGCCGAGATAGAAGGCAAGAGGAAGGAAAAAAAAAGGAAAAAGTCAGGTAACAAAGACCCATCACATCCTTGACAAGCCCTTCCACCATATCACCACGCTACATCACACAGAGAATAATGCATTATTCCTGTGGGAGGGTGGTCCTTATCTGCACACACCCACTACATGCTCATATCTAAGAAGATACAAATTAGAACTTCCTCCTGGAACCGCACAACATCAAATTAGAGAAATGGGATGCAGAAAAGTGTGCAAATGAATATGGAAGGAGAGAGGAGTAACAGGGAACTGTGACTTGTTTTTTGCTTCCCCCCCAAAAGAAAAAAAAAACTAGCTCTTTGGTGTCTGGGAAAAGGGGGAATGAGGTGGGGCAGAT